ATTAGCTCACCCTTTTTCATAGGTAAATTATACGTTTTTCAAATTGTTCGTGTATTTGCCTCCCAAAAATAAATAATGGAATCAGTGTTTTGCCACTTGAGGAAGAAAACTCATTATGATTTTTCATATATAGTTTGGCTGTAAAAACGTGTCCTTCCTATTGTGTATTGTCCTTTCTCAAAGTACATTTGTATTTGCCTTCTTTTCTCTAAAGATGAACAGTGGAAAGTGGATTTTATTTTATTTGTATTTTATCTATGAAAAAGGAAGTTTAAACGTTATTTAAATCCTCCCAAATCATTGAGGATGCACAATATTTTACTGACTTTACAAATTAAAATTCCACTCAAATAATTGCTTTCTGTAAAAAGTACCTGAAAACCTGCCTAGCGATCTGGTGCAGGTTCTGTGAGCAACCTGTGAGAAAGTGGCATTTAGTTCTGAGACCCATTTTCTTGTTCTCTTGCAAATGCTGTTGTGGGGGCATACACCTACTCTGCTTGAGCCGATTAAGTGAGAGCTGTGATGATTTCTCACTCTTGGAGACTGCTAGAGTCATGGGGAGTTCATTCAAAGTAGCTTGAAGTTTTCATACAAGTTCTGGGTAAGCTTGGAGATAACAGCCAGTGTGAGGGAACAGTTGCATTTACATGGACAAAGGGTTCCTTTTGATGAGAATTTGCCTTGTATCCTACCTAAGGATTTTGCATTATGCAGTTATGCTCAGCACCAGCACGTTTCAAAGTGTTTTCCTACTAGCAGAATGAAGTCTAGAGTATCCAGCTTGTAATTGGGAGCCTAAATTTGCTCGATCTCCACATGGGACTGGCCAGTGGTGCAGGATTTATTGCTTGTGAAGATGTGATTTGCACTTGCAGTCCTGGAAGTGTATTGGATTGTAGTAAATTAAACCCAGGGTCTCCTTTGTTTGTGCTAGGCCACAGAAGGAATGAAGGCCCAGGCACACTCTGACAGGCAAGGTTGCTCAGAGTGATCAGATAGCTTTCTCAGCTTGTATTGTACGTCTGAGCTTCAGATACAAAGACTAAATTTCAGCAGTAGGCCTTTGCTGTAGCTAACTGACTTTATGAAATGCTTTGAGAAATGAGTAAGTAATACTTTGTGCTGCATGTACCATTTCTGTTTGGAATGCTGCTGACTGACTTAGTGAAGTCACTTAGAAGATCTAATGTGAGCTGGGATGGAGGGGTTAAGTAGAATAGGAAGTTGATGTGGATATGAACAGCTTCAGTCATGAGCTCATGTCTAGACTCTGTGCGTGAGTAGTCTGATGGCACTTCTTTCTGCCCTGGCCACTTTTCTCTCTGGTGCTTAAGCAGGATGAAAGAAGTTAAAAAGGGCAGCGACACATTCTCAGTGCACTCAGATTCAAATTCTGCTAAGCTTGATACCGTTGCCTTCATCATAGTTTATTTCCTTCCAAACCAACAAGCTACTAATCAACCACACTGTTCAAACAAACAACTGGGCCAGAGTGAGGAAGTAGTGGTCTTTTAGTTCTGTTACTTGTAGCTTGGAACAGTCCTATGCTGCAACTAGTCAAATCCAGAAAATAATTTTTTTGGTCTATAGTGGCAAGAGAGGGGAGAGTAAGTGTTTCACATGCTGTACCAAAGTTTTATCCTGCCTCTGGTAGCTATTTTATTCTTTGCACAAACTCCTCCTGTGCTTCTGAGAGGTCTTGAGCTGGGTCTTTGGAGTCTGAGAGCGATAGGGTTGATTGACTTTCTCATAAATGAGATGGAAGGAGCTTGCTGTATTAGAGGGTAAGCTGAAACTAAGGCATGGTACGGCTGAGCGTACCATGAGGTTGAAGCACCTTGCTTCAAACAGAGGATGCTCGTGGTAAACAGTTCATAGAAACAGGGCTGGAGAAGGAAGGATTGAAGGTTGTGTAGTTAATGTTTTTTGCTCATCCCCCAAGCTATGCCTGTTTTCATAGTTGAATGTGTTCTGCAAATGTATAATAGAACGTGTAACAAAAAAAAATGTAAGTGGTCCTAATTGTTTTCTATTTGAAGAACTGTTTATGATCAGTTAACTTGAATAAAAGCTGGATTTAATTGGCTGACTTTTATTTTTATATTAAATGACTCTGTGAGATAAAAGTTAAGAGATTTCAATCCCTTCTATAGGAGCTCTAAATTATCATTTCACATTTTGCCTCCAAATCTGCAGTGTGGCTGTACATAAAAAACTGTTGCATCGTTGTTTCACAGCAACCAGAAAAATTAGAGTTTTCCTTTTGCAAACTCTGCTAGCAGATGCATAGTGTAAACTGTGATAAAACAATGTTCACTTTTCTAAAAACTTGTTTCTAAACTGCATCTTGTGAAGCAAGTGGTGGCAGGAAGCACTTGTGTGGGAAGTAGGATCTGTTGGGTGTTACCAGGGTAGTGAGATCTTGGTCGCTTGTGCCAAGAATTTCATTCTTTCATAACTCGTGGAAGAGGGATTTGGCATTTAGTGTTCTAAGCAACTCACTACGATCCTTTTTTTTCTTTCTTCCTTCCCCATAGTAATATTCTTTTAATTGTGGTTATTATTTTCCCTTCCTGTCTGAAATCATCTTGCTGTATTTGTTTTTGTATTCATTTTGTTTTGCAGCCACTGTATTTCAGTAAGAAAGGTGTTAATTCATAGATTAGTACGTAATGTTAAGAGAAGTAAAGAGCTATGCAGTTCTCATGAAAAGTGCTATGAATGCAAGTTGTTATTGCATACTCAAGTATTAAAATGAAAACAGAAATACAGAGATTCTTGTTTGAATATAGGCCACAGCAGGAAGGTGATGTTGAGTGGTGCAGAAAAATCAACAGTGATAAATAACAGTTAAAGAAGGGAGCTTTTCAGAATGAGAATTGACAAAATCTGTGTAAGGAACAAACAAGGCAAATGTCTATAGTGACAGTTTACTCCTGGCTTTGCTGTGTGTGATTGTAGGCTAGATAAGGAAATGAATCGTGGTGAAGGTAAAAAGATCACAAGGCATGGAGGCTGCTGCCATTTAAGAGAATAGATGATAGAGAAGAAAGGAGGAAGAGAGCTGAGAATTGAAGCCGAAAGAGGAGGATGGACTATGGAACTGGCAAACAGTAGTATGTGAGCCTCATGCTGAAGCAACTGGAAATGGGCAACTGTAAGGTATCTAGTGATGCAGTTGTGACCACAGATTTGAAGAGTGAGAAGATTTCCATGTCTTATGGGGCTTACTAGCATCTTAGGGAGAGGAGAAATTAAGAGGGGGAGAATGTGCTTTGATTGCCAGATCCACCTCTTCCCACACCTTGTTTAAGGGTTGGCAGTGGAGGTGAGGGCATCTCTTGCCAGAGATCCCTGCCTACCTGAGATCTTCCAAAGGTAAGCAGCTCTTTACCTTTATTTCTGCATCCATGGCTGCAGCGTTTGGGCTCATTCTCATTTTCTGTAACCAAAGACTTTGCCACCCTGCAATTATTGTCCTACTATAGCATACAAGTACAGAAAGAGAAAATGGTCTTCTGCCTACTATTTTCTTTTTTCTTGGTTGGTAAGTAATGGTATTTTACAATATAATAAAGAATGCTGTATTGTATCTGGAAATAAGGAGTTTTTTTCAGCTTTATAATTAAATGTTTGTCTTATTCTCTAATCATTACATCTCCTAAAATGCTCTTTAGAAAATTTCTTATGAATGATGCTTGGAAGCATTTACATGATATTGAAGGCATTCCTGCAGGCATCACTTTACTCCAGAATGTTCTAACATTATTAATAATAAGTGTAGTAAGTGTAGCAAGTTTACATTAAAAGCAAGCCTCAGACCAGGTCATTTTTAATCAGTGCAACAATTCCTACATGGCAGTCAGTGTTACAATAAACCTGTAAAAATTGAGAGGGAAGAATATACATGTACTGGACTTTTGGAGGCTAGATAACCTTTTCATTGCTGACATGAGCCTATTCATTTTAGATTGCTTACTGTGGCATGGTATTGAAAATTGGTTGCCTGTAATAAAGCTCAGATTTGATGTAAGATAAGTTAGAGGGATAATGGGTGATATTGGATAACAGTAATAAAAATTTCTTACTTTACTCAAGATCATTTAAGGTAATAGTGCTCACTTGTTACAGGTGTAACAGTCTCTTTCTGGATCACCTTGGGGAACTTTTCCTGTATACAGTGAGACTCCGAAAAGTACAAAGCAGTCATTTATTGGCTAGCAAACATAAAAGACAAGTAGGATGTAATGGGCTTCCAGGCTAGGCATTAGCATGCTTGTGATCCCCCAGGAGGATAGCTGCAGAGTCTTTGCTGGCCAGGCAGAGCCTGGAGGAGAGGTGGTCTTCAGTGCTTCTAAGTTGCTGTCTTCCACCTGCTTACTTTTTCTTCCTGTAAGATTTTTATACCATTTATGTCAATGATTTTTCTTTCTAATCCTTGTCTGGAATCAATCCAGCCTTGACAGTCCTACCTTCTTTTTTGCACTTGTACCTCTCTTATCATGCATGGCTGTGCTGTGTATTTTCTCCAAGGTCTGTCTCATAGCTTAGCTCATTTCCTTGGAAGTCTAGGCAGGGTTATGAAGCTGTGCTGTATCAGTGCTAGACCTTGAATCACAGAAAGCTGAACCCTGGAGAGACAGATCACACAGCAGAAATGTTACATGCTGAGGTCAAATATTATCAAACATTAGATAAGGAACTTAAATGAAATTAATTATTCCTGAACTCCTGAGTGCTACAGTTCATTACTTGGGAACCTGATAGAGTTCTAATGTTGTCTTTAATTCATTCACTACAATTGATTGTAATGTTGAATGTTTTGAGGCCATACTTGTGTTCTAGTTTATTTCAGGTGTTAATCATGTGTTCTAGAAATGCAGCAAACAGGCAGCAAACACTACTTCTTGCCTTAAATGCTCAGTTTGCATCTCCCGCAGATCTTTTTTAAAATTTTCTGGATACACCACCTGCAACTGTCCTTTCTTGTGTTCTAGGTAATGGGCCTCATCATGATCGAAGTTGTGTTTACAACCGGAGCAACATAGTTGATGGAGTTTACTGCCTTCCGATAGCGCACTGGATTGAAGTGTCCGGACATACTGATGAGATGAAACATACGACTGACTTCTATTTTAATATTGCAGGACATCAAGCTATCCATTACTCAAGGTAAAAGATAAGTCTGAGACTTGTCTAGTGTCAAATATTGAAACAGGGAATCAACACGACATCAGAAAACCTTGAATTAGAAGCAACAAATGGCAGCAGTTCCTCAGAAAATCTGAACAAAGATTAAGCACCTCTTTGCAATTAGATATCGTGTTTTTGCAATAAAAAGGGGGGATTCTGTATTCAAGAACACCTGCAGCCTATGAGGAGCTATTAGTTGTGTCACATAAGAAAATGTTTATCTCAGTAATTTAGTGTTCGTAAATATACATCTATATAATAAATGTGTGTGTTGGGGATTATTTTGCTGAAGTACATAATTTGGGGAAAAATATATAGGGTGTCATATTATTGCTTATGTGTGAAAGCAGTGGCAATTAGTGACAGCCCTTATAGGTATGTGTATGCATCTCAAACATAGTGTGTGATCTTGTTTCTTCAAAAAAAAAAAAAAAAAAAAAAGCTAAAATTTAAGGATGTCTTAGAATTTATGTTCTTCCCTGGAGTTCTGTAGAGTCCAACTGATTCCCACAGCTTTTTGAGTCTAGAAGACTGATGTAAGCTTGGATTCTCATAATCATAGCTTGTCTTTGAAGTACTGGGTTCAAGAAGTGCTGCTAGAGCCACTGCTTTGTGAGGGAAAGCAGAATGAGAAGATACAAAGACCTCCAAAGCATGCACTGAAAAAATCTGTCATGTCTCACTGCTGACTCACCAGTGAAGCCTGCTGGCCTGAATTAGGAGCCAGCAATACTTGAACTGAAGATAGTATGCACCCTTTGGGGCTGCACATAAAGCAGAGGTTGTTTTTAGAGCAGCAGCCTTAATACTGGTGGCTGGCAATATGCACCAAGGATTTGGGGATCATTTGTAGTTTTGTCCCTGTCTCCAGTTCTGGATGTGGTAAGAGATTTTGATTAACAGTGGTTGCATTGCTGGCAACCCTGATATGGCACTTGGTGCTGATGTTGGCTATTGAGTGGGTTAATGATCCTAAAGGGTAACCTATTGTTTGAAGAAGTCAAAGTCTGTACTTTCACTGAGTCTTGACGTTCCTTTTTGTGAATTTCTCTGGATTACTCTTTTGGCTACTCTAGCTTTACTGTCTTGTCCTGTGCTGTTTTGTTTGAACTCTGACAGAATGGAGCAGAATTTTTTTGTCATGAGACTTGCAGTGAACAAGGGAAAGATATTTTTTTTTCCACTTGGTATCTTTTGGAGTATTACAGATTCATAAACACTGTTAGGCATATGCAGGTATGCATGTGACTTGGTACTGTTTCCTGGAGACTCCCTCAAGCTATGTAATACTCCTGACAGAGTGTTATCTGTATCTTAAGCATTCATTTCCAGCGTCCTGTCAGAGAAATGATCTCGTTTCCTCCAAAACAGAAACTTGTCAATCCCAAATAATCTTCACTTGGCAGAGAAAGTTTATGAGAAAGAGGAACAGCTGTCAGAAGGAGCATACATAAGCACCAAAGGCTAACTTATCTTCCTTCCCAGAGGCAGCAGTGATTCATTTAATACTGCCTTATCTGCATGCCTGTATGTTTCCAAAATGAGGAAAAACCTGCAGGTTGCACTAAAGAATATTTTGAGTAAATTTTCTGTGTTAGGTAGTCATTTCCCAATGAGTATCTCCTCAGTTTGCCTCTCACATACACATATCTCCATTGCAAGACAGTATTATATATAAAGCTTCAGTAAGTAATTCTTATCTCATATCTTTCAGCTTTATTAAGTGAGCATATCTTGTAACAGGGCTATTGCATAATTATTAATACTTTGAAGATACGTAGCCTTAAATGACTTTTTAGTTATTAACAGCTGGGTACAGATTCACATGCCCAATCATTTTAACAAAGCAGCCTAATGCTATTGGCTAATTTTTTTTGTTTGTTTGAACAGTTAAAGTGAGCTGATAAAAATTCTTGTATTTTTTTACAGTGGATATTAGCATCAAGAAAACACGAAAAAAAAAACAAACGACACAAGCAAATGAAACCAAAGAACAAGTCCCTTTGTGTTGACAGCTGAAAGCTCGCTGTATGGTCTGGTCTTAGTTCCCTCTGAGATAATATTTTCTGATGTTATTAGGTACCAGTATTATGGGGATCTTTAGGAGCATGAATTCTGAATAATTCCACCAGCTGTAAGATCTTTATATAGCAGTGGTAGCTGGAAAGAAGTTTGTTATCAGGGAAGACTTTTGACATCGTACTGATCTGTTACACTAAATAGGATTGCTGTGTGCAAATCAGGTGGAGAGGAAAGTTTATCTCCATCAAAATGACCTCCCATGTGAGCTGCTTAAATGCTTGCCATCTGTCTAATCACAATGATTAAAAGTAGTTGTTCTTAGCTTCACTACCACCTTATTTCTTCAAAAAACTTGTGCTTAAATTTTAAATGATATGTAGCATTATGAGATGTTGTTGGAAGTCGTTCTGAACAATGCTGAGGCTGACAGCTTTGAGGAATCATACTTATCTTAATGATGTGTGTATGTACTCACTCCATAAATGAGTGAACTTATATTTAAATGCACATTTCGAAAACTCAGTTTGTACTGATCACTCAGGTTAGTGTCCACTTGTTTTGGAAATATAATGATGTGCATTACTTAAATCTGATTCAGAAAAAATAACAGTCCTTTTCTCTTTTGTGTTAAGTATTAATGCAATAAGGACAGAAGAGTTAATTTAGGACACGGTCATTTTTCAAATATGAGTTATTGTCCTCTTTTTTTGGGAGAAGATGGCTTCAGAAAATCTCTAAAAATGGGTCATTTCAGCACTGTTTAAATTCCATTTGTGAAAGATGGAATTTCCTAATTTGAAGATGTTGCATGTCTTAATATTTATTAAAAATAACTCTGCAATTCTCAGAAGAATGGCTTTGTATGAGATTGGAGAAGGAGTGACACCTGGAATATCAAAATCCTTGAATAATATGTTGGAGACAATGATGCCTGGTGACAGAATTTGGTAATAGGGGAAGGTGTATCATTGAGATGAAAGGCCTTCTAGTTACAGTTTTCTAATATTAGAATAATTTTATGTCCTTAATTTGATATTTACTACCCTTCCACCTGTGAGAGTTGCTACAAAAGGATGGTTAGCAATTATCATCAGAATACTGCTTTAATGCTTCAAAAAGGTAAACAAGAAGCATCAGGATTTTGCCCAGGATTTTTTGACCAGGGCAAAAAATTCCTTATCCACATGCATATCTACACTGAGATTTTAGTATAGGCCAGGGGTGTACATTTTATGTAACTTTTTCAAATCATCCCTACTTACCACACTGTGCTTTATGTTGTAGAGAAGTCTAAGAACGAAGAGAGTGAATCTTGTCAGGTATAGCTAAACTGAAGCTTTATAGCTCTCCTGTGAAGATAATGTGCACCTGCTTGATTGACATGCTTCTTTAGTCTGGGCAGAAAACAATCTTGTTGGGTATGTTTTGCCTGAGAGTCACCGGAGAGAAGGGAATAATGTGACTTAATTTAACTAGTTGAGTTGCATTTACTGCTGTTTGAATGTTGTGACAATGTTGGGAGTGATGAGTTTAAAGGTATTCTTAAAGACATCTGTGGTAGGACTCAGTTTGAGGCTAAGTGACTTTGGATGTCTACGTAGAGCAGTTCAACTCACTGGTGACTAGGTGTCTACTTTGGAGAGAATCAAAGAACTGAAATGGTCTCCAAACAACACTAATTATGCTATGGTTTATAATTATACTTTAAACATGCAGTTAATTGTACCTTGTTGCTTTAAATTGAATATCTAGTGTCATTTGAGGTGGTCTGGAGTTTACTGTCAGTCCTCCAGCTGGTGCATTGCAGGAACATCATCTTTTATAGCTCTTTGGTCACATCTGTGAGTGCCACACAGATGTTCCAGTTGCTACAGGACATCTGGGATGTTAGGAAGGCTGAGCATGAACACTGAGCACTGCTGTGGCAGAGGACACCTCAGGTCTAGGAAGCTTCATCTTTCCCTAGCCTACGTTAATGAATAATGTTCATCTCAGTTCAGTCTGAGGCCAGAATTACCTTTGAATTGTGCAACTGGAAAAGAGCACTTTTACTTGCTTTTTAATTTGGGGAGAATTTCTCTTCTGGCTTAAAACTGTTTTTAACTCATTTGAAAAATGAAATACCCTTCTATGTTGTGTCATTCTAAAGTAATTCTTTTATTACTGAATTATTTAAAAAAATAAAAGAAGGTTTAAAGAGGAAGCTGTCAAAAAAAAAAAACAAAACCAAAAAACTACAGTGCAGTGAACTATGCTACTGTAGTAGAAAGCTGCACTGATACTTAATGCCTACATTATAAACTAAGAGATGATGATCTCTACTGAGATTACAGCAATTAGCATTAAAAGTTGAGAGCTAGCTGTCCCCTGTGCCTGGAGAAGACTTGTGGTAACAATATTAGAGAAAAGAGTAAGAAATAATGAGCTACAGATCAAAAGTTTTCTATTGTATTCTAGCAAAATAATCCTGATTAAAAATACTTAACATAGTAGCAGTTTGTGCTTTGATTTCAGTACTGGAGGCTCTAATTGTGAAGTTATCTGGCCTTTTTGTACATTAAAAAATTAAAATATTCTAAGCCACGTTTTGTGACATGCATATCCCATAAATTAGGACATCTGACCACTTGTTTAAATTTGCTTTCATTATACCTAGCTATAAACTAGTCTGAATTAGAGCCACAGTTTACTTATCAATGAGAATAATCTTTTATAAAATTGTTTAAAAATAGTTTTGAGGATTTTGTTCCATGTATATCTTTAAGTTTTTCATTATCACCCTCAACCAGAGCTATGAAATGCTCTTACTAGTCTCTAGATGGAAGAAATCATTTCAAATCAGTGTAAGATGTGATTTTTTTAGCAGTTTTCTATTCAAGTTCTTGAAAATGTAGAATATATATAATGAGTTTATCTGAGGGAAGAGGAGCAGGAGCAAGAAGAGAACCATACTGTAA